TTTTTAGTTAACGATGAAATAAGATCATTGATAAAAGGGAAATTACCCTAAATAGGAGTAAATGGGGTTTGAAACTTCAAAATAGGACTATTATGTTTTTCTTCCTGAAATATGAGTTGTTACTGCCATGCATGAAAAATACCGTCATTATTGAAAATTACTGTCATTAATTATATTATATACTGTCATATAAAATGCACTGTACTGCAACTATTTGGCAGTCAGGTCTATAAGATGACAGTAAATATCGACATGTTAGTCCTATTTCGAGAATAAAACACAGTTGTTCTATTTTAGAATTTCAAAATTCATTTACTCCTATTTTGGGAAATCTCCCTTGATAAAAGTGAAGAGTTTGTTAAAGACAGTGTGGCATACACCAGAGGAGTTAGGGGGCTTGGCCAGGCTTTGGTGCCAAATTTGTAAAAAATTATTTGAAAAAATTCTTTATACCAGCTCCTTCTAACCTTTTGCACCTGGCTACGCCCACGCTCACACAAGTGTTGTTCAAAGACTAGCGCATCAAGTATATATGATACATGTCATTGTGACAACTTAAGGAGTTTAAATAAGGACTCATATGCTATAATGTAAAAATTTATGTGTACAAATTTATCTGTAAACATTCTTTGTACCGATCCAACCCAACTCTTACTCCTGCTTACACCCCTAGTAACACCATTCTGATCCAAAGCAAGGTGTTAAGAATATTTAGAAACATTGAGTATATATAAATTGTATACGAAGAGAAAGGTGTATAAGAAAGTAGTTTCACATTTATTTAAGCATTAAAACAACTACTTCAAGTCGTACCAAATGGACCAAGATAATGGTGAATAGTTAATGTGGGGGCCTGACTTCCATGTCGGTAGGTAACATATATGCATCCCAATTCCCAGCCCAGTCAGCAAATGGACTACTGCCAATTACTGTATTTGTTTATCAAACTTCATACGTAGTATCTCTTCCTCTGTTCTCACCCCAAGCAGGTAAGCCTACTCATATTTCTTTAATTTGCTTAGGAAAACATAAAGATAAAATTGATAACATTCATACCAAAAGGATAAAGCCACCGTGCATCAATACACTGAGTATATTTCATCTTAAGCAACCGCTACCCTTAACATCATAGTTCATTCTGGAGTACTAGACAGAATGAACTATGAAGTTCATTATGATTGCTGCAGTAGATGCTTATCTGTTTGTTTATCCATCTTTCTTTTCGGATGTCATAGGCAGTCATGGATCATCAGCTTAGATGGTTGCCTGCCTACTCTATAAAGAGATTCGGGTTGGTGGATGAGAGCGATGGAGCTCTTCCAACGGAATCCGGTCGCGTTATCAATTACATTAACCAGATGCTACTGGGGGAGGATGTTGACGAGAATAATGTTGCCTTGTTCTGTGATCCTACTTCGCTAAGAGCTGCTGAGAATTACTTCCATGAAGCCTTGGGTGAGAACCCTTCCTTTGACAGCAATGTCGGAGGGCCAGAAGACATCTTAGCTGTGACCTCCACTTCTAATGTTGAATCATCCCTCACAGACGCTTCTTTATGTAGCTTTGGCAGTGCAAATTCGGTTCCAAATATATTCTTTGATGATGAAATTGCGTCCATTTTGCAATCGCCCAGAGGTGTGGAGGAAGCTACAAGATTCTTTCATGCCATCAACCCGATGGTCATCAATTTCGACGATAAATACTCATTGCATCCAGAGTCCGAGGATTTGACCAGTGGTAGTACTGTGAGTAGAGCAAGGAAGCATTACCGTCCAGGTGAAAGCGGGCTAGACGAAGAAGAAGAAGAGGAGGATGGACGGAGGAGGAAGCAGAGTGCACCTTATATGGAGGAGGTAGAGCTATCACAGGTGTTTGATAAGGTTTTGCTGCTTTGTGCTGAGAATGATGATTCTCCATCTGGAACTAGGAAACAACAACAGAAAGGAGGTGGCAAAAGGCATTCAAATGAAAAAGGCTGTGAAGTTATTGGTGTTGATCTCCAGATGCTTTTGATCAACTGCGCAAAATCTATTGCTGCCGCAGATTACAGTGCAGCAGTAGAGCAATTAAAGAAGATCAGACAAAATTCTTCGCCTGCCGGTGACGAAAAACAAAGGGTGGCACATGCATTTGCTGACGCTCTTGAGGCACGGCTGGCTGGAACAGCGGCGCAAGTTTATCCTTCTTCATCATATCGCAACACGATTGTCGTCTCTGAATTACTAAAATCCCACTTGTCATCATCTATGCCATTTTTGAGGATATATATCTTCTTTGCCAATGAAATGATTTACGAAGTAGCATCAAAAGGCACATCACTCCACATCATCGATTTCGGCATTCTTCATGGTATCCAGTGGCCCACTCTTATTCGGGATCTTTCACGAAGACCCGGTGGCCCTCCAAAACTTCGAATCACCGGGATTGAGCTTCCCGAACCCGGTTTTCGTCCATCACAAATGCTAGTGGGGACTGGCTGCCGCTTGGCTAAATACTGTGAGCGTTTCGGTGTACCATTCGAATACAATGCCCTCACAGCAAAGAATTGGGAGGCAATTAAGGTTGATGACTTGAAACTGGTAAGGGGTGAGGTGGTTGCTGTAAACTGTATCGATCGACTCAAACGACTACTAGATGAGACAGTATGCGTTCAGGATTGCCCCCGGGATGCGGTTTTGAACTTAATCCGGGAAGTAAATCCTCATATTTTTGTACATGCTACGCTTAGTGCATCTCACAACTCTCCTTTCTTTGTCCATCGGTTCAAATCAGCTCTCATATACTACTCTGCTCTCTTTGATATCTTTGAAGCCGTTTTCCCACGCCACGATAGTAAAAGGATGCATTTCGAGCAAGAGTTTTTTGGGCTCGAAATAGCAAATATCGTAGCATGTGAGGGCATGGAAAGGTTAGAGAGGCCTGAAACATACAAGCAGTGGCAATCCCGCACTTTGAGGGCGGGGTTCAAGCCTGTGCCAGTGAACCCTGAAATCGTGAAGAAGTTAAGAGAAAAGATGAGTGAAGCATATCACAAAGACTTTATGCTTGCTGAAGATGGCCATTGGATACTACAGGGCTGGAAAGGCCGGATACTTTCTGGCAGCGCTGCATGGGTAACTCACAAGCGCTAATTTGTTGATTTTTTCATAGATTGTGAGCGTCTTTGTGATATTTCAATAGTGTAATATATTGAATTTTAAATTTATTTATATACTAATATGTAATCCCTAGCTAATAATTTCTATTTGAACATGAGAAGTGTTTTGTCATTGCTTATTGAGTAAAGTTGTATGGAAAGAATATGTCTTTGTGTGTCGGTGTGTGTAAATATATACTACCTCCGTCCCTTAAAACTTTGACAAAGTTGACCGGTACGGAGAATAATAAAGTAAAAACTGTGTGGTTGAGATTTGTGCAGAGGATAGAGAAACAACAGAAAACACAAAATAATTGATTAAAAGGGAAAGTGACAAAGTTTTATGGGACATCCCAAAAAGGAAAGACGACAAGGTTTTAAGGGACGAGGGAGGAGTATGAAACTGTGTAGTTAAATTAATCAATAAATTAATCAAGTCCTACTTTAAAATATATACACAAATTAAAAATAGATTACATAAGAATCACTTTTATACACTTTTATACACTTAAGATATTCGTTTTTAATTTTGATCGTGTTTAGCTTTGTTATATTTGGATTTGTAAGTTTGTAACAATTGAGAGTAGTTGAGAAATCCTCTCTGTATAGGTTGAAGAACATGAGGTGGTAGTTATAAATTTATAATATTCATATCGTACATTATAGTGCATATTTATCGTACCATGACTCATGACTATACATACACAATACTGTGATCTTATTTTAGTTATAAAACATGCATATGGATTATGGAAATAAAATAGTGATGAATATGCAGTTACAATACAATTACTATGAAAGTACTATAAGTACTGCACATTTGCAATAAATAATGATCAAACTGGTCATTTTAAAACGATAAAAGAATAAATACAACAATTTCTTTCAGCTTCATGACAAAATATTTCATACCAATCCGGTCATTTTGTTTATATTGGTTTACATCATAGGTTAGAGAGAGTGCTCGAGGAGGAAGAGAGAAGTTGCGTGAGCGGAATGTAGTGTAAAATAGGTTCAGTCTGGATCGAGTTTTTGTTACACCCCAAAGGTAACTTGTTTCAGACTGAGTCTTAAAAATTCTAGATCGGAACAATGCTTGATGCAATACGGCCGGTCTGAATTTTAGAAGCTCGAGTTCGGGTCAATGGTGAGCTTAGCCGATTAATGCTCGAACAATTCTTGTTATACATGTTTTAAACGGATGATTGTGTACCCAATAGCAAGGAAATTAAATTATACATACTTGATTAAACGAATAAGCAATTAATGTGCATCGAAAGAAAAGTGAAAGTTCCTCAACTACTCTTGGGGGTTTTTACTTTTTTTCTCATTAAATCCTGGATGGATTAAGACATCTGTCTCCATTAAGCTGTCTGTCCGGATTAAGTTAAACTAAGATAACAAGTTGTTTACTAAGTATGCTGAATGAGAAGTCTGAATCATGTCTAATGACCAAATAACCCTCCTGTCTGTAACAAGTGTTGTTTGTATATTGTCTATTTACTTTCTTTGTTCTGAAAGATAAAATTTATATACCAGAAAATAATAATACTATGAATTATTTGAATAAAAGAGTCATATTGCATGATAAAACAATGTCAAGAGTTTTACGAGAACGACATTTATAGACCTTAGTGGTCCACTTTTCTAAATGATAGTAAGTGAGAAGTAATTAAAAGCCTGTTTTCGAGGTTCTATAATGTAGTAACCATTGACATGATCAAAACTTGAAACATATCAAGGTGTACCATTATTCTACCCACCAATTAGAACAAAGAAAAATTAGTCACAGAAATTGCCTCCAAACAATCAATTGTAAGTGTTTGTTTGGTGAAAGTAGATAAGGCCTAGCGTAACTTGAGCAAAGAATAAAAGTAATCTTAGATAAAATAGCTAATAAAAGGATACCAAACAATAGGTCCACAATTGTTTAAAAGCACTAAATGTAAAACAGGATACATAAATGGTCAAAACTATATTGGGCAATGTCAAAGCTACAAATAATATCAGATGCCTTTTGAATGTTATGTTGCTTTTGCCGTGCCTTTGCAGTGTGACCAGGTTGAGCCTTACTACGCCAATGCTTCCAACACTTGTAATGTTGTTAAGATGGACACTGCATATCCATCGCCTCGACTTATGGAACTTTGGGCAGGCCTTTTTCTCAATCCTAATTCATTCATCATATGTCTCACATTCTCAGCATCTTTCCACCTTCCCAAAGCAGAATACATGTTTCCAAGCAACACATAATTTCCAGTGTTGTGTGGCTCTAACTCAAAAAGCCACTTCGCAGCCACCTCTCCGAGCTCAACATTTTCATGTATAACACAAGCACCAAGTAATGCACCCCAAACAACATGAGTCGGTCCGAAACGCATGTTTTTTTATCAAGTCATAAGCCTCCTCAAGCCGCCGAGAACGTTCAAAAAGATCAACCATACAAGTATAATGATATGGCCTAAGATCATCAGGGTGATCTCTTCATGTAATTGGGACTGCAAGGATTCCTTGGGACTGCCATTTCTGAAATACCCACCAATCATAATGTTTCAAGAAACCGTAGTTCGCTCCTGCATTGCATAAAAGACTCTGCTTGCCCCCTCTTTATCTCCACATTTCATATACATCACCAACAATGAATTCCCCAAGAATGCATTTAAGACAACCCCTGTCAATATTGTCAGACCATGAACAACGACCCCGATTTCACGCAGTAATAAATCACCACAGGCACAAATTACAAACGGAAATATATACCTATCTGGCATTTGCTGACTGGAGTGGAGCATTTCATCAAATAACTTGAGAGCATTATGGGGAGCCCCAGTTTGTGTGTATATTTTTATCATGCTCTTGTAGGAAAACAAAGTTCTAAAAGACAATTCATCGAACACCTTGCGAGCAAGTGAAGTTTGGGAGCAGAGCGCGTATGAAGCTGTGAGGAGGGAAAGGAAATGAGTGGAGTCGCAATGGTGTAAGAGTTGAATCCTGAGAATGGGAGCATGTACTTGCTTGGTGGTGCTTAATGACTTGGTGGTAGAGCAACGGTACAAGAGTGCTTCATAATGTGCAATGGTGCAGAGGGGCGAGCGTGGAAGAAGGTATTTCAAGGTTCTGGTCAGTGGCTGAGATGACCCATTCATGAATCAAGCCCGTTCACCGTAGGTGGGAACCTGAATCAAGGAAGAAGAAACCCAGTATTCTAAATTCAAGAGGAGCCTGGAGCCGTGATCGTATTGGCTGTTTTAGTTCGAAATTTTGGAGGGACCATTGTCCAGGTGCCACAACGGCGCCCCAGTGCCTGTACCTTAAAGACCGGTATACGGTGAGCACCTTATACCGATACCGGTATACGGATTTATATTTTTTTTTCCTTTTGATTTTAAAAAATGGTAATAACTTTTTTATTTTTGATTCGATTTTTATAAAATTTATATCAACATTTTTTATTTTTCATTATCTTTCAAATGAGACCAATATTACCTATGTAATTTTAACATATTAACATTTGCGTGTAAAATATGTAACTTTACGTGTTAAAATATGTAACTCACGTTCAGTCAGACCAAATGCAACTCGTGTGTATAAATATGTAACTCGCGTGTATAAATATGTAATTTTACGTGTAAAAACATGTAACTTTACGTGTAAATATATGTAAGTCGCGTTCAGGCATGTCAAATGCAACTCGTGTTTATATATATGTAACTCGCTTTTAAAAAGATGTAACTTGCTTATAAAAAGATGTAACTTGCTTATAAAAAGATGTAACTTGCTTATAAAAAGATGTAACTAGTTCATAAAAAGATGTAACTCAATGTATTATCAAATGTAACTGACGCCACTGATCCACTCCCAAACAGATTCAATCTTCTATTTCACAAACCCATCATCTCCCAAACAGATTCGATTTTCCTTATAATCCAATATTCATTAATATAATAGTTCGATAATTTCTTAACATTACATAAGCAATATTGGTCTCATTTGAAAGATCATGAAAAATAAAAAATGTTGATATAAATTTTAAAAAAATCGGATCAAAAATGAGAAAGTTATCATCATTTTTAAACAACAAAAGCAAAAAAAAAAAATAGGAAGCTGCGTCGTTTTGCAACCGGGCGCACCATCCTCATGGCACGTCGGTTGCACGGTATAATTTGCCAACGGCGCCAAGAAAAAATAAGAAAAAATAGGTCCAAAAATATTTCTTTGTATGTAGGGTGAGTAGGTTCATTTTTTTAATATTTAAACTCAATTGATTAAGTCCAAGATTTAATTTTAAAAATAAATGTAAAGAGGCAAGGTTTGTCTTAAGGGAAAATTCTCGAAATAGGAGTAAAAGAGTTTGAAAATTCCAAAACAGGACTGTCATGTTTCTATTCCCAAAATAGGAGTAATTACTGTCAAATTTGGAAAATACTGTCATGTTTAAAGTCGGGTACTGCAAAATATGGTAGTAATTAGTCTTATTTTGATAATAAAAACATGATAGTCCTATTTTGGAATATACAAACGTTTTTAGTCATATTTTGGATAATATCTTGTCTTAATTGTCGTCACATCTCTATGCTTTATAATCCTTTTAATTACAATACTACCAAGTTAATGAAGTTATGTTAATCCTCCCGATTCCAAAACTCCCAATTGGTAAAGTCCATCCAAATTGAGTTCCAAATTGAGTTGTTGTTTCCAAATTCCAAAATCAACAGAGTAAAGAACACTGCAAGGCGGTGAGTGCCTTAGCGGTTTGTTAAGAAGTCAATCAATCTAGGAGGCCAAACAGCAGTCGGTGACCAAAATTTTTTTCTTTCAAGACTTCAAACAATTCAATAATGACCAATAAATTATTCTTGATGAAATGGGTGCATCAGGTTGGAATAAAGAGAGAGAAGAAGATTAGAAAATGCAGACTTAAGTTAGAAGAGATCAATGGAAAAATTGTTTTTGTTCAAAAATTGAATCTTAAACTTCCGCGAGAAACATTTTAAAGTAATGTTTTTCATAATTGAAGATTTTGATGAATTATTTGCGACCCACTATGTCTTAAGAAAGACTTAATGGGTTAGCAATTTTAAGTATTGAGCATGAGATATTGGAAAAAGTCGATTGTGAAGCAACTATTGATGATTTTGTTTCACAATGTTCTGCGAGAAAGATTTTTAACTAATGTTTTTTATGTGATACTTGTGTTGTTACTTTTCACCAAATATGTATTTTAAATAATAACAATAATTTTATTATAATTATTGTTTTAAATAAGTTAGTTTATTGTTTGTGTTGAATATAAGCCCATGAAATTATCTCGTCCCTAGGCCCGAAAATAGACAGGACCGGCCCTGTGTCCAAGTGTTCGCCCAGAAGAAGAGAATCAAAAGATGGGTTCTTCGGATTTAATCTCACATGCGTGAAGGAGGGAAAGAACTTGTCATGAAATGGGTCTGTTCATGTGCCTGAATCGGGAGGAGTGTATTTTATTTGTTAGCGAATAAGTCTCATTCTTTCGGTATTTTGTTTGCTAGCAAATAAGTAGCCTTTTGTCTTGCACGAATAAGTCACCTATTTCATTATGTTCCAGGTAAACACAACTTAATGAATTAATGGTTAAGTCATTAAGTTCGCTAAGTCCTGAGTAAACAACCCCTTAGATGGAATTTTTTTTATCTAAATATTCTCATTTGAGTCTTTAGATGGTGTTCTCATTTGACCTTAAATCAATGTCTATATATCTATATAGAGTAGGATTATAATAAAATAGTCCTAATTGTGAAAAATAATAAACAATGATGTGCATTAAAATAAAGGGTGAATTCCCTAAATAGGAGTAAAAAAGTTTTGAAATTCCAAAATAGGACTATCATGTTTTTTATTCCTTGAATGGGAGTAAATTTTTGTCAAGTTTGGCATTAAACTGTCATTTCTAGGCTTTAAACATGGCATTTTTTTCAAACATGGAAATTACTCTTATTCAGGGAATAAAAAACATGATACTCCTATTTTGGAATTTCAAAACTGATGGAGTATATGGCCCGGGAACCCCCGGCCCACAGACTCCTACTACTCCAACGAAGGCCCAATAGGCCCAGGAAGCACAACAGGCCCAAATCACGACGCACAACAGGCCCCTGACCGAAGGCTCCAATTCTCACAGGAGGGTCAAAACAGGAAAACAAAGCTACTGGGAAAAACGGCGAAAATCAGCAGCCCTCGGCACCTAGAGCCCTCGGCACTAAGGAAGTCCTCGGTACTCAGAGCCCTCGGCTAATCATCTACGGCCGAGGGCACCTTTCCGACATAATATCTGCTCCACATGCGTATGGATCACCGTACCCAGTACAACGTCCCATCCAACAGCCGCATTAAATGCGGCCACATGCGGTTGTCAGCGCCAACCAGCTGAGGTGACCCCTCGGCCAATGGACGCTTGACACGTGTCCCTGTCTGTCATTTATTGCTACTATAAATAGCACCCCATTTCCCCGTTGTAAACCACGCTGAAAACACTGAATACTTTCTAATATACTCTCTCTACTTACTTGCTCTGACTTCTCTCTAGTTATTCCCCGTAATAATCCCTCAGATAAGCTACCCCCGGATGGACTATCCATCAAAAACATTTTTGCTCCTATTTAGAGCAATTTCTATAAAATAAATCATCTGAAGACTAAAAAGGTGGAAGTGCACTATAAAATAGTGTGGAGGATTGGCAGGTTATAAAACTAGACAAAAAGTTCAAATAAGCTCTTGTACTATTTCCAAATCGTCACTTAAGCCCTTGTCCAAAAAAAGTACTACGTATCATATAAGTACGCCTACTTTACAAAATTGATTAATTTGACCGTTTAATCAGCTTTTGACCTGTAATAGCAGGTTTTTAATACTTAAAGATTCTTAAAACTTGTTAAAATTTGAAGAAATATATACAAATATTGTGAAAATTTTCAGAATATCAAAGTCATATTTTTTAATTTTTAATTTTATTTGTATATTTGACATCTAATTAGAAGGTTTTTAAAGTTTTTATATTTTCTTTTTTTATTTTCACTTTATTTTTTCATTTTTTTATTTTTTATACTTTAATGTTTTTAAAATTTCATCTAATTTTATATTTATACTATTTTTATATTATAATTAGATTATTTATTCAAATTTATATGAATTTTTGTAAGATTTATCGATATTCCTAATTTAATTTTTTTGAAAAATAACTTGCTATAGCAAGTCGAAAGACTTGGTTGATTGTATTTTAAAAGTAGACTTATATGATACTTTTTTTGTAGTACATGAACTTGTGACGGATTAGAAATAGTAGACTTATTTGACCCTACAACTAATTAGACCTATTAAATGTAAAGTTGAAAATTACCATATTTGATTCTAGGTATTCGAAAATCGAATGGTGAACCTATGTAAATCCAAGAATGGTGCACGGGAATAAAAAACGATGCACACACAATTGAGAATTTATGAAATTAAAACAATATGAGTGTATTATTTAGATGTAATTTCTATTAAAATTTAAAAGACTAAATATTACCCGGTCCTTTAATAATGGAGTGATTAGACTAGAAAATTCTAAAAATATGAAACTTTTATCAGGTACCTTGTGGTCTTATATCATCATTGTCGATCTTTCAAAGAGAACGTCACATGTTTGAGTCTCATCTTGATCAAGGATGTTGTCATTAACAAGAGCAAATACTATAATAGGTTTAAATGAATTTTTTAAGCCCGTCATGCAAATACACCAAAGTCTTTTTCACGTACTAAAATGAAATTCGGAAAAGTGCATTTCGAGTGAAAATAAAATTTAAAAAAAACGTTTGGAATGAGACATGGGGAATGGGTGAGAAGGAAAGGGTAGGGTAAGAAAAATTAAGGAGGCCATGCATAATATAAATCCCAATTTTCCTTAAACGGTTTTACTTTTTTATTTGTACTTCAAATTTCACAAAAATTGTATCGAAATTCAAAACTTTTTATGATCTTTCATATGACACCAATATAATATATAGAAAATTTTAAAAAAACATAAAGTAGTTTCAACTGCAGGAAGTTTTCAATCCAAAATTTTTCTTAATTATATCCAAATGCTACAATTAAGATGAGATATATTGTCAAAATAATTGAAACATGTACAAAAAATTAACAACGAGATCTTAATTTTAGCCCTTAAATGTAATTTGGAAAAATTGAATCTGAAAACCTCCTTTAATTTACTTCAATTTTTTAAAAACAATATATATTTATTATTAGTGTCATATGAAAAACACAAGAAATACAGTTATGAATTTTTATATATTTTTTTTATAAAAAAGAAGCACAAATAAAAAAGTTACAAAATTTTTAAAAAAATGGAATTTTATTTTTTGCCTAACCCCCACCCTACCCCTCAACCAACGTAACTAACCATTTGGAATAGGGGAATCCGACTAAAAAACTCATTTGGAATCACTTTCAATAAATAAAAGAGTGCGATATACTTAAAACTACTTGTGAGCTAGGGGTGAGTAAATTTAAAAAGTGTAGTAAAAACTATATTTATTTGTGGTTTTATCTGAGAATGGTTATTTTAGAAAATATAAATATGGAAAAAGGGTCTATAGTAAAAGCTGATACTAAAAGCTCATAAGTCCTTGTACTATTACGCAACCATCATTTAAGTCTGTACATTAAAAGCTAATCACATAAATGCATTTATTTCTTAAAATATATTACTGACTAGAAATCAACCTACTATATCAAGTTATTGACATAATTAAGTTTTCTTTTCCCTTTCCTTGTTCCTTTTTTCTTTTTATCCTTTTTATTATTTTGTATCACCCACTGGCAATGATTCTTTTATTCTCTTTTCTTCTTTCTCAATCTTACAACAATAAAAGGAGATAGTTACTCAATATTGTTTTATTTCTAAAGAATCACAATTTTAGTCTCTCAGTTATTGCTCGTATTCAAACATAATTCTCATTTACTAAATTTTGTAAATGTCATCTCCGATTATATGAAGTTTGAAAAACGTGGTTCTCACGGTTAAATTTAAACTAACATACGAAGTATTTAGTTTTTCTTTAGTTTTGATACGGTTAAGATAGTAACTTCAGACATAGCCAAAAAAAGTTATCCACTTTAAAATATTTTAAATTCCTTTGCTGTAATTTTTTTGTTTCTAAAGTTAAGCCATGGAAAAAAACGTCGACCATAAAAACCAAATTGTATATGAAGTAGACAATAATAGTGTGACGAACATAAAAATGTTTCAGGCTAGATATAAAATTGTAATTTTTTTATTCACATTTTCAAAACCATATGCACAGACAATTTATGTGTAATTTTCTGCTACTCGCAGAAAACGTTTTTATATACGGTAAAAAATTATAAATTTCTTGTGCCACACATTTAATATTTGTAAAAGCGAATACTTATGAACATTGTTTCATGACCTAATTTTACAAATACAAAATTGGCGGCAGAATGAATTTTTAAATTGTGTATGAATTTATATAAAATATTTTACACTTTTGAACATGTTTTGAAAATCATTAGCACCTAAAATTTTATATCTAAAGAGGACATAAACATAATTGTTAGTTGTAAAAATATTTAGCACCAGACAATGTTTTCCTATGAAATGTTAAGCCACAAGTAAAAAATGCCAGTTGAAAAAATTCAAGTTTATAGAAAATAAATATCGATTGGAAAATCTAATTCGATCAAAGACAAAAAATGTCTAAGTGAGTCAAAAAATGAGACAAGACCACAACTATTATTTTCAATTTTTCAAAATTTCTCGCATTAAATAAATGTTTAATTTCTCGCATAAAAAGACTTTAATTTTATGAACAATAAATGTTTGGTATAAAAAAATGGTCCATACATGATAAAAAAAACTGTACTTTATTCATCTGAATTTAAAAAAATGTACTGATGATCTTTATTTGTAAAGTTAGAGCACGAAAAAAACTTAGCCGAAACGTTTTTTTGTCTATGACAGAAAATTATCGTTATGTAAAATTGGACTTCTCCGATCGGTATAGTTTTCTCTATGGCATAATTTTCAGACAAAACTTTTGGTACAAATTTTTTCAAAATGCGAACAAATAGTATATAATTTTATCTAGTCTGAAGTATTTTTGTATATGTGAGAGTGTGAGACTATTATTGCCTATAAATTATATTTTTTGCAATCAACATTCTTTGTCTATGGCCCAAGTGTAGAGACAAAAACTTTAGGTGCAAATAATTTTGAAATTATTTACCAAAATGTGTAATTTTTATCAAACATAACTATGTCAAAGTTACAAAATTAAAAATTAACAATGTTTGTTCAAAATTTTCAGCAAAAATCACATTTATAAACATTCAAAAAACTGGTGATGATATTTACAAGATTAAATAAATGAGAATTATATTTCAATATGAACAATAACTTAGGAACTAAAAGTGTGATTCTCTGAATCTAAAAGAATATTTAGTAACAATCACTTTTATTTTTCAAAGATTGAGAAAGAATAAAGGAGAAAAAAGAAAAATTTAAAAATAGTGGAATGGCTAAAAGGGGCAATAAGAGAAAGGAAAACAAGGAAGAGAAAAATGAAAAGCTAAAAAATTTCAATAACCTACTACTATAGTATGTTAATATCCGGGATTTTACTTAACTATTACTAAGAAAAAAGTTATGGATAAAAATATGACACAATAACTATTAGTGAATAGAATTGTGTTCAAAGTTTACATCGTAATCATTATATGTAGTTACTACGATGTAAACTTTGAAAACAATTATAATACTAGTAGTTACTAAGTACAAAGTAACATTTATGTCCATCACTTACATTTCCATGAGTAGTATTAATATAATAGAATTATTTCGATTTCCGGTCAAGGGGCTATATGGAGTTTAAGCAGTAAAGGTATTTATGTGATCATTTTTTAGTATATATGGGTTTAAATGATGGTTTCACAATAATAGAAGAGATTATTTAACCCCTTTCCCATTAATATTAGTCTTAATTTCATCAAACATTCTTGATTTATAAGTTATATTCAATAGTAGGATTAACTTAATCAACTATGTGACATCTTCGGGAGTAAAGTATTTGAGGCAGACTTAGTGCTGATAGCTAGGTATATTGAAAAGTACGAGTAAATATTATACATTTGTTTGTCCTCTATACATACCAAAAGTATAATATATTCAACTAACAATAATTATGTCTTATGAATAAAATTGATTAGCAAAGAATATGTTCATTCAATTGACATAAATATTCTAGCATTGTGATGGAAAATTGTATTTATGATGGCATGTAAGAAGACGAGAGAGACAGAGAGTTGATGAACGTATGTACAGAAATTCTTGATATAAAAAAAGAAAAACAAATTCCTGATATAGGTAATGCCGAGTATTGTTTTGAGATTATTTTAGAATGAATGGTCTCAATATTACTCCTCAACTTTGCATTGACAAAAATATGACTAAATTTAAAATTGACAAAAATGTGATACGGAGTAAAATGCTTCGCCGTATGTTTGAGTCACAGCGTCCTCAACCTGCCTTATCTGCGACCTGCACATCATCATCATCCACGAGCAGCAGCATCTCCCATGGAATTAGCATCGTCATCGTCATTGTCCGCCATCACTTCTTGCCTTTGTCACTCGCGTTTGCCGCTCGCCGCGCCTCAAGCCCTCTGTCGCTCTATCACCCCGCCATCGGCGCCGCTGCCCCTGTCATCCTGCACTTCTCCTCTGTTTCTTATCTTTCATCTCTGTGGGATGACGATTGAGCTTCTTCACAACAAATTGTGGTTCTGTGCGGCGGAGATGACTTTTAAATCGGCGGTGTGGCTGTTGGATTTTCAGCTCTGCGGCGTGATTTCCAATGCCAGGGTTCCAGCGGGTAGGTGGGCCTGTAATGAAGATCTGTGGCGGGCAGGTTGATCTGTGTTGGTCGGCCTTCCGGGTGGTGGTGGTTGCCGGAGGACTGGTGCGAGTGTGGCTGGGGACAGTTGATGCGCAGGGGGTGGGACTGGGGTTTGAGTGGTTGTGGTGTTGGGAGGGGGAGGGGCAGGGGGCTGGGTGGGATCTGGTGTGTATGGCTAGGTGGGCGGGGATTAGGGCTGGGGGGGCTGGGTGGGGGTCTGGTGCTTAGGGGGCTAGGGGCGGGGCGGGAGCTGCGGTGCATAGGGGGCTGGGGATGGGACGGGAGCTGCGGTGGTGGCTCGGGACGTACAGGGGTGGCAATGGCGGCTTGGATTGTTGTTGGCGCCATGGCACCGGAAAAGGAGCCAGAAAATTTTCTGGCGGCGACGTCACTGTGCCGGCGTCACTGTGGCTACGTCACTGCGCTTGATGTCACCGTGATGATTGGTTGCATGGATGTCATTGTAGAGATGTCACTTTGTATTAGTCACATTTTTGTCCGAATGTAAATGTGATCAGTTTCCCGGAAATTAGCTTTAGTTTAGTAATATTAAGGGAATAACCCCATTATTTTAACGTTGTGAAAAATTATTGTTGAAGTTATTGGAAGAGTAAACCATACTTCGTATATTAGAAGATTGGTGCAATATATTTGATGAGCTTGTGATATAAATGATGGAAGAATCTTACTCCAACGATTAATATATTTTTAATGTCATAATGAATTATATGTAATTTTATAAGTAATTGAATTTAGAATGTTTTTACTTGATCTGTTTTTAATTTCAGATCAGATCAAACTAGACTTAAATAGCGACCAAACCTGAATTTCTTAGTTATAAAATACATAAAGATCAGACTTTTACCGGACCAAACCAGTTCAGGTCAGACCAGATTTAAACAGACCAAATCAATCAAAACCAATAAATTTTAATCCAAGTAAAAACATCCTTAGTTCATGATTGACGAGTTGGGTAATTTATTGTTTTTTTTAACTTGGGTAACTTATAACTTTAGACACTAGAACATCTGCATGATCTCTAGATAAATGGTTTTTCTATTACACATCATTTTCACTATCTCATTATTCAATAATTTTTAAATAATTTCAAAACTTAAAACTCTTTATCAAAAATACTCAAATAATCAATTTTTACGGGACATACATTAAATGTAATTTATATACCATCTAAAATTGTATGAGTCAATTGATCGATAGAATATGTTGATTAATTACCAAAAAATAGAATTATTTGATTCAAATCCAATCGATTCACAGGTTCTTCAAACAAAATCCCCTGGCTTGAGTTGAATTTTCACTTGACGTGATCACCATCTGGATATATTTGGAAATTTTCTTCCCATATACTCCGTATTTCAAGGATCCTTTGGAAAATTGGAATTTGAGATTTTATCTTAAAGTTGCTGTTTCGTAAATCCCTGCTCAAAGTCTAGTTCGAAATTTGCTTTTTTTTTTGCAATAGCATTTCTCTAGCACTAATTTATGATCTCTGGATTTTGTCCGTCTATTATTCGATGTGATCTGATGCTGCGACTGATTTATTGGGTTTTATTGATTTCTGGGCATGCCCGAGAGTTTGATATTCCACAAATTGGATTTGATCTATGAGGACAAACTTTTCATTTGGGTCTGGTAGCCCCAAATCATTCCAAGCGTACCCTAGGGGCGATTTTGACCTAGAATCTGGAATTCCAAAAAGAAGCAGAAAACCCAAAAGCTCGCCATTTCATCCCATCAAAATGATCAAGTCATTAGGTGATCAGATAAATTACTACTATAAGGTTCGCCCACTTTTGCTGTTCTTTATCTCCTTCTGTCTTGCGGTTACTATTATTTTCATATTGTCTTCCTACGAGACCCGGTTTCGGGTTATGGGTAACTTAAAGAAACCCAATAAGGGTGTAGAAATGTATCCGTTTTCCGAGTTCAAGAATCTGGTAATGGTTGCCGGGCACTCGGTTTACACTAGCAGTAGTTGTGAGAGTGTTGAGAAGGAGAACGCTTGGTTCTTGGAGTCATATCAGAAGCATCCTGGCCAAGCTGAAACCTTTGTAGCGCATATACAGAAGGGAGTTGAAATTACAGCAACTGATGACGTGGCTTTGCTTCTGTTCAGCGGTGGAGAGACAAGGAAAGAGGCGGGGCCCAGAAGCGAGGCACAAAGCTATTGGATTGTTGCTGAGTCTAAAGGATGGTTTGGTGAGTTCTGTTCTTCATGCATAGGAGTTTGAAATCCTCGGGGTTCCAATTTTTGTTTTCTGATAGAAAGTTTGGATACTTAGGGCCGATTAGGACGGTGGGGTTTGGAATGTTAAGTGTATATCTTATTACTAGAACGTTTTTTAAAACTAAATCGAAGGTTATTGATTATTATATGACTTCCTATTGTGTTATTCTTTCACTTTCTTAAAAATCGCTCTCATTCACACATTCAGACATATATTTAGGATATAAACTTAGCTATCCAAAACCCTCCATCCAAATTGAAGTAGAGTTTTTTTGGATGCATATGGCCTTTCATGTATCTGCCTCCTTGATTATGATGTAGTTATGGAGTACGGGTTTTGCGCGTATGTGCGTAGTGATTTGTCTAGCCTAAGGCCTTGCTTTGTTGCAATGGAGCAGAGGAAAGTTAAAGAGAAGTGTGTGTTTGGTTGGAGGACTTACAGGGGCAGGGGTAATGGGAGGCATGATGCATGATATATTTATAAGAATATAGAAAGTGAAAAGATTCAGGAGAGTTGTAGCTCATTGATTTGCTTAATGATTTTGCTTTGATTTGATTTTAATAGCTTCATTAGTCTATCTCTTTTGGGAAGTGATTAGCTAGGATATCTTCCTTTTATTGTTTTAGGTTTTTCTATGCTTGTAATCACTACTATAAGAGGGATCTTTGTGTTACTAATAAATTATATATGAAGTGAGAAGAAAAGAAACACTATGACTCAGCCTGACTTTCTAACTCCCTCAAATTGGCATACAAATATATTCTTAATTTTTGTTTCACTATCACGATACACATAAACTCTGCCATGAGACCATTTTTGGTATCATGTCATGTCTGTCCCAAGCTAGGATCAAGGATGAGTGTGCTATAGTAGGTGCGTGACGGTCAGCGATGTATTACTTAGTCACATGACATGACATGAATCGAAATATGAATATCGTTACAACTCCAATTTCATATGTCGATTAATGTTGGTTGACATCAAACTCTTTTGGGACTTAGGCTTGGATGTTATCGTATCATGATGCACATAAATAATTACGGAGTATATTGTCTTCTAATTTCAAAAATATAACATTTTCCCATATATTTATAAAAACCATGCATTTCGAACTTTAACAGTCACATGTTTGTTACTTACCATCACATCACATTTCACATCTTTCTTTTCTTGGGTCATCACTCCATCATCTGCCATTTTATGGCTGAGTTCTTTAGTATCAAATCAGCTTTTTAGACTTTTAGCTAGCAATATACAAAATGAAATACATTATAAATTTGTACTCCGTAATGGAGTTGCCCTTTTCTCTAGAACAAATATTCTTGATATGATTACTATCTAATATGCGTCTAAGCAAAAGTTCCCCTAACATTCTTGCTAATGCTATCTCTTGCTGTATTTTTTTAATGTCATGATGACTATACTGCAATCCCTTCTGATATCACACAACAATACTTTGCAGAAAATCAAGAAATTGTGAGGAGGAGGGCACTCACTGAAGAGCATGCTAGAGACAGTTTTGAGAACCTTCTTTTTAGTGTTTGCAGGTTCAGGGAACTCACTGGTTCATATCCACATAATATAACAGTAAGGCCATATTTTGTTTGTCTATTTAAGATATTAGTTTGTATCATCTTCCAATGGATAGAAATAGTTTTAGATTTAAATTAATTCAACAACATATAAGAGTCAACTGCAAATCCAACAGCCTTGGCTCTTAAATAACAGTCCATTAAGAAAAGTTCTGATTTTCGAAATGCAGGTTGTGGGTTACGACTTTAAGGCTGAGAGGTTTGTTCAACTGCACCGCACAGCCATAAGATTCCCAGAAAGTAGATTCATTTACTCAGGAACCCCATCATCGCCAAGTTCAAGGGATGCAGCTTTGAAAAGTGAGGCCTTTGTGAGGACGCAGTTCCAAGATGATCCTTACGGATGTAAAGGCTCACTCTTCCGGAAGAAGTTAGGACGTGATCCCTTTCATCGTTCAATCCCTTATCCCAATGGGTGTCCTGAAATTGAAGGGTTGTTCCGATACTGTGGTAGGGCTCCATACCCAGGCTCATTGCCTTGGGGCTAAGTAGATATGTGAAGTTTTACAAGAGTAAGGGTTTTCGGCTTATGAGTTATATTTATATGCTAATGTATCTTTTCTTAGGACGCCCTTCTTTTTTCTTTCAAAGATGTATGTTTGGTTATTATATTTTTGGCTTGTTAACTTAATATATAAGCAACTTAAAACTCACCATTCTATCTTATTCTTTACCATTTACCTAAAGAAGACTCAAAATGAGTTAATAATGAGCCCTCCCCCCATGAGTGAGCAGATAACATTGTATAATAATCGGCAATTATAGTCCCTTAATCAAGCCCTCTTCCAAAAAAGAATGGAAATATATTGGAAAGAAAAAATGGATATGAATAATCCCAACTATCAGTGATCTGCTTGAAATAATTCAAAGTATCAATCATGTCAAAATAATCCCAATTTGGGTAGTCCCGGCTTGGTTTCGGGTCAACTGCCCAAAGAGAGGAATTGAAACCTTAAACGGGTTTATCGATTCTGGTTTTTAGATTTGAAAATCAGAACCGGAACTAGTCGGATTCATTGTACTTTAAAGTTTAAAGGAACGAGTTTGACCTCAAGTAGCTCCCGTCTAGGTGTTAGTTTGGCCTAGCCATAGACTTGGTCCTGCATTGGCCGCTCTTTGAAAATATATATAGAATATCGGGACCTCTATTTTAAGTTCCTGTCCCTAACTGGTTTGGTCGTATCCCGTTTTCTTTTTTGTTTTTTGATACACTTTTAAACCCTCTATACTCCCATCTACACCTCTTTTAAACCCTCAAAAGGATCCTCAAGCCTTATAAAATGTTTTCCAATGGTTTCATAGAAAACAAAAAATAATTAATTGAGATTTGTCTGGTCCCGATCCCGATCAGTCCCGTTCTCAAAATATGGAGGTCCGGGACCAGGATCTCTTTTTCACGTGTCCAGTCCGATCAGAGCTTTATTTTCCGATCCCGATTCAAAACCGGGCGATTCCGGTTTGGTCTCGATTTCGAGATCATGACCGGGTCCATGCCTAGTTTGACCTCGCTCGATTCAGATTTGATAAATCCAAATCCATACTCGTTTGGAATTAATATGTTGTACTTGCAATGGAAAGTCTAAAAATGAAAATAAATCGGTTAAAGTTGAGTTTACCAACAGTGGCAATGAATTATTTTACAACTTGAAACTAATATTTTAGTTGCATTGCTGACAACTTATGAAGTTTCAAATTACCATAACATTAATGTTGAGGAAGAACTCTCGGGTGTTCTCTCAATTTAAGAGATCTGATCATCTATGAATAATTTTGAAAATATGAATATTTAGTTTCACTTTAATTTTACTGTGCTAGTGTGATATTATTACTTTATTGGTCTCTAAAAAGAATGTAAAAATTGATGTTAAAACTTAAAAATTGATAGTACTACGTATTTTTTTTAATAATTGCCATACAGTCAAACAAATAATAATAATAATAATAATAATAATAATAATAATAATAATAATAATAATAATAATAATAATAATAATAATAATAATAATAATAATAATAATAATTGCGACACCTACCCGTGTTAGCGCGGGCTAACTTATTCGCATAAACTAGTGTTTTTTTCAAAGCTCTAACCAACACCATTTTCAGCTACCCCCAACTCTATTATTTCTATATATACTCTGTTTCTTGTTTTCACCACCGCCGTCTGACGGATCTCCCTATGTTTCATCATCTTCCTGACTTTCCTTCCTGCTGTATACCCTCCCCTTTCCAGTCTCACTCTTTCTCTGCCTGAACTCCTCCACAACGAGCAAGGTTCTAGGATGGCTTTAGCTCCAACTTCCGCCCAGCTATCAAAACCCATCTTTTCTTCCAAACCCATTTCGCAAAGGAGTCTATTTCCGTTACCCGCTACCTCTAAGCTACAGCCTCGGAAATCTTTAATCCGATGTTCTGTGGCGGTGTCTCCGGCGACTGCCGCCGTGCCCGCTGCGGCCAAGGTGAAGTCTGTGAAGGCTAGGCAGATAATTGACAGCAGGGGAAACCCGACCGTGGAAGTGGATCTGGTGACTGAAAGTGGGCTGTACCGATCGGCGGTGCCTAGTGGAGCTTCCACCGGGATCTACGAGGCATTGGAGCTCAGAGATGGTGACAAGAGTGTTTATGGAGGCAAAGGCGTCTTGAATGCTGTGAAGAATATCAATGAATTCTTGGGTCCTAAGCTTGTAGGAGTGGATATCAGGTAAGCTATTATAGTCAAATGACTACTTATGGGTGAGAGCAATTTGGGTAGTTTGGGTTTAACTCCATTTGTTATCGGATTTCACTCAACATCCTGTAACTAGTCAAAGTATTTAGCTAATTACTTATCATGCTTATGTTTTTAAGTTCTGCTAGTTTTTTTCTGTATAATGCTCATCATATAAGTAGTAACTCATTTTGGGTGAATTTTGTAAGGATTAAGGCAGGGTTCCGTTTAACAATGGTTGTATGATTGGAGCTAAGATTTGTATGTGTAAATTACCCTAAATACGGATTAGGGTATGGTTTCAGTTCAATTCTACAAGTTTTTTTTTTCAAAATTATCAAAACATGGGCCAGTCTGCCTAAGTACATTGCCAGGTAACCTGTCGAATGCCCAATTGGTTACACTATAACAGTGTCTGAATTTATCACTCTGTATTTAATTCAACTGTCCATCATATATATATATATATATGTGTGTGTGTGTGTGTGTGTGTGTGTTGATTTTGTATATACTAGACAAATTATACATCCATTGTCATTTTGATAGATATATATTTTTTTCACTTACACAGGAGTTTCTGTTAGCAAGATCTTTAATAAAAAAAATGTCTTGGATTATACTGGTCAATTTTAAAATTTGGGGAGTTGAATTTTGCACTCTATTTTATCATCCAAGTTTGAGTTCACACCTATTTTCCGAAGTCGTATTTGCACCTGGAGTTAAAAAACTTCAGTTAAAAATGGGGTGCAGACTCCAGTTTGGAAGAAAAAAATGCGGCGTAAATTTTATTTTTTTAAGTTTTTTAAACTGATCAATGAAGAAATACTATTCTTATCTTTTTTACTAAATAAAGCTACATTGTGGCTTGTTGTTTTCTTCAAAGCTTTTGAGCCATTAAAATCTGTGATATTCTATTGCCAAAGGAACCAGGCTGCTGTAGATGCACTTATGTTGGAGATTGATGGAACACCAAACAAATCCAAACTCGGAGCAAATGCAATACTAGGAATATCTCTGAGTGTGTGTAGAGCTGGTGCTGGAGCCAAAGGGATACCTCTGTATAAACACATTCAGGAGCTATCGGGGACCAAAGAGCTTGTCATGCCGGTTCCTGCATTCAATGTGATCAATGGAGGCAGTCATGCTGGCAACAATCTGGCCATGCAAGAGTTCATGATTTTACCGGTTGGAGCCACCACATTTGCTGAGGCTCTTAAAATGGGCAGTGAAGGTTCGTGAAGTGATTGCTTGAATTTTCTGCTTATCAATTATGTTTTCTTTCAAAAATATATTTAATCAGAGCTGTTTATGATGAAAACGGTAGTGCATAAGTTACTTTATATTATTTATTTATTTATTTATTTATTTATTCAAAACTAATATTTTTTGTATTTTATTTAATTTCACTAATTACTCTTGTGGGTGTCGATAGTGAAATAAACTAGTGCGTGTAGGTTTTTTGGCTTATCAACTAGATTTTCTACCAAACGCTATATTAATTAATGTCTATGTTGGCTTATAAAGAACTAAATGACACATCAACCTTCTATTTCCCATTTGTTAAATATTCTGTAATTACCTTTTTTAAATAAGTAAGCCACTAACATATTTATAACAAATGGGCTCCTAACCTCTTGGTTTTCCACTTTTCATGTATCCATAATACTAAGGGTCCTTTTATGCTTTTGTAACATGATATTCCGTATTTGAGAACCACGACCTATAACTAGGTGTACAATGAAGTTTTGCTTCACTAGCTCTTATTTTCCCTGTTATTAGATTTTATTTTAAGTTACTATGATGAAATTCTACACGGGCTTATTGAACAGTGTACCACACCCTCAAGGGAATCATCAAAGCAAAATATGGACAAGATGCATGCAATGTAGGAGATGAAGGGGGATTTGCTCCAAATGTTCAGGATAACAGGGAGGGTTTAGTTTTACTAATGGATGCAATTGATAAAGCAGGCTATGCTGGAAAGGTAATCTTCATTCAGTTATCGTTTATGTAATTATTTTCGAATACATAGGCATGGAATAGAAAAGAAATGCCAAAGACAATTTTTTTTATATTTCGTTTTACATTGGGAAACAGTTAGAAAAATCAGATCTGATTTGAATTTTTTTCTTTTAAATGTATTTTTAATTCTTGGTCTTAATGTATTTGGGATAGATACATAAAAGGAATTTGAACCAATATCCAGAACTGGTTTGTGGAGTTCAACTATTTATTTTCTAAATTTCCCCCAAAATTTTCTTACCCAGTTCTCATCTGTTTTCCAAAATTCCATCCTTGCATTTTCTGTGTTCCAAATGTACCCTACTGCATTTCAGGTTCTCATGGTCTAAAAGGTCTTTTTTCTAAAACAGATCAAGATAGGTATGGATGTTGCAGCATCAGAGTTCCTTACGAAAGACGGGAAGTATGACCTTAATTTCAAGAATCAGCCAAATGATGGTTCTCATGTGCTTACTCCTGAGAGCCTTCTTGATCTGTACAAACAGTTTGTCAAGGATTTCCCTATTGTATCAATTGAAGATCCCTTTGATCAAGATGATTGGAGGTCATGGGCAGCTCTAGAATCTTCCGTGGATATACAGATTGTGGGTGATGATTTGTTGGTCACAAATCCAAAAAGAATAGCTGAAGCTATTCAGAAAAAGGCTTGCAATGCTTTACTGCTCAAGGCATGTGACTTTAACCCTGTATTTAGTTATTTACATCTCTTTATTCGTTTGTGAAATTCACTGCCAGTTTGGGTAGGCTTGTTTGGCTGAAAGGAGGTTGGTTGATGATACGACTACCACCACACAGTAACAATCACAATGAAGCTAAGAACAAGGTAAGAACAGAAAATTCTCATACACAGAAGGTAGGTCGTATACAGCCTTTCCCAAGAAGGAGATAAACTCCAACTCCCAGTTCCCGACAATGTGTCTCCAAAAATAGCCTGCCATCCTACAGCAGAATTATTCTATTTATATCCTTCTACAAACAGAAGGTAGTTATTAGTTACTTAACAGCTTTTAACTAATAACCGCTAGTCTATTTTAGGCCTTCTAGAATATACTCTCCCGAATCTTCTATTCTGATTGCTTAGACTAGCTGGATCTCTATCAATACCCCCTCCTTGTAGAACCAACTTGTCCTCAAGTTGAAAGTCAGGGAATTGATCTCTGATCATATGAATATCCTCCCATGAGTCTTCAAAATCAGGAAGGCCATGCCAATGCACTAGGACCTCCTTCTTCCCTTCCTGATTCAGCCTACTGTCTCTCACAGCTTCAGGTCTCACTTGCAACTCACAATCTTCTGTGAGGCAATCTGGGAGGCTTTGATAAGCTACAGTGGGTTTCAGCACCTTCTTCAACAAGGATATGTGGAATACAGGATGTATTCTACTTCCTTCTGGCAACCTTAATCTGAAAGCAACCTTGTTTATTTTCTCTGAAATTTCATAAGGGCCATAAAATCTGGGACTCAGCTTTTGATTGATTCTCTTGGCCAAACTTCTCATTTTATAAGGTTGTATCTTTAAGAAGACTTGATCTCCCACTTCCAATTCCTCTTCTCTCCTGTGTTTATCAGCTTGTTGCTTCATCAAATTTTGTGCCCTGGCCAAATTCTCCTTTAGTTCAGTCAACATCTCATTCCTCTCAGCAGTCATTTTAGTTACTTCATCTACTGAAGTTATACTGACATCACCTCTAATGATAGCAGGAGGTGATTGTCCAAATAAAGCCTGATATGGAGTGCTTTTCAAGGAGCTATGATAATTAGTGTTGAACCAATATTCTGCCCATGGAAGCCATTTAACCCATTGCCTAGGTTTCTTCCCACTTAAACACCTCAAATATGTCTCTAGGCAACGATTCACCACTTCAGTCTGCCCATCACTCTGTGGATGGTAGGCAGTACTATATTTGAGTTTTGTCCCAGCCAATCTGAACAACTCTGATCAGAAAGAACTCAAGAAAAGACTGTCTCTATCACTCACAATGGACTTTGGGAATCCATGTATTCTCACCACCTCCTGAATAAAGATTTCAGCCACTCCTTTGGCATTATAGGGATGTGCCAATGGTATGAAATGTGAAAACTTTGTCAATCTGTCAACCACCACCAAAATAGTGTCTTTTCCTTGTGATTTTGGTAGACCCCCAATAAAGTCCATGCTAACATCAGTCCACACTTGTTCAGGTATGGGTAGAGGTTGCAGCAATCCTGCAGGCTTTAAAACCTGATATTTATTCCTCTGACAAGTGTCACACCCTTGAATATAATCCTTGATGTCAGTTCTCATCCCCACCCAGAAGAATAAATTGGAAATCCTCTTCATAGTCCTGAAATACCCTGAATGACCCCCTATGGCTGAATCATGGTATTCTTTGAGAATGATCAAAATTCTGTGGGATCCCTTTGGTAAAATCAACCTCCCTTTGTAATAGAGTAATCCTCCTTTCCTCTTATAATCTGGATATTTATATGGTTGAATTAACATCTTCTGCATTGTCTCCCCCCATTTAGGGTCCTTCTCCAGTTCTTCTTCCAGACCCTCCCACTCCTGACAAGTTACAGTAGATATGGCTGCATATGAGTATTTTCTGGATAAGGCATCAGCTGCCTTATTCTCAATCCCTGGTTTGTATCTAATGGTGAAGTTGTAGCCCATCAATTTGGCTATCCATCTTTGCTGATCTTCTCCCATAGCCTTTTGCTCAGTCAAATACTTCAGACTCCTCTGATCTTTATGTACCTCAAAACTCCTTCCCAAAAGATAAGGCCTCCACTTTTGAATAGCAAAAACAATAGCCATTAATTCTTTTTCATACACTGATTTATTCAAGTATTTGGGAGATAACTGTTTGCTCATATAAGCTAGAGGTCCCCCTTCCTGCATCAATACAGCCCCTAAACCTTTTCCTGAAGCATCAGTTTCAATCACAAACATTTTATTAAAATCTGGTACTCTGAGCACTGGCAAAGAAATCATGGCCTCTTTCAGATTCTGGAAAGCCTCAGTAGCCATCTCATTCCATATAAACCCATCCTTCTTTAAAAGCACAATAAGAGGAGCAACAATCTTGCTATACCCCCTTACAAACCTTCTGTAATACCCAGTCAGACCTAAGAACCCTCTGAGTTCCTTCAAATCCTTAGGGATATTCCAATTCTTCATAGCTTCAATCTTTTCAGGATCAGCTGCCACACCATCTTCTGAAATAATATGTCCCAGATAATTCAGTTGTTTTTGGCCAAATGAGCACTTCTTTTGATTTGCCACTAAATGGTTCTTCTTCAAAGCTCCCAGAACCTTTCTTAGGTGTTCTTTATGTTCTTCCTTAGTTTTGCTGTAGACTAAAATATCATCAAAGAACACCAAAGCAAATTTTCTCAGAAAAGGCCTTAGAACCTCATTCATTAGTGACTGAAAAGTGGATGGAGCATTAGTCAGCCCAAAGGGCATAACTAAATACTCATAATGACCCTCATGGGTCCTGAAAGCTGTTTTATGTGTATCACAGTCTTTCATCCTGATCTGATGGTAACCTGCCTTGAGGTCCAGTTTTGAAAAAATTCTGGCACCACCTAACTCATCCAACAGCTCTTCAATTACTGGAATAGGAAACTTATCAGGAATAGTAACCTTATTCAAAGCCCTATAGTCTCCACAAAACCTCCAGCCTCCATCTTTTTTTTAGCTAATAGAATGGGGCTACTATACGGGCTATTGCTGTGTTTAATAATTCCAGATTTCAACATTTCTGCAATAATCTTCTCAATTTCATTTTTCTGATCAAATGAATACCTGTATGGTCTGATATTAGGTATCTCTGCTCCTTCTTTAATATTTATGGCATGATCACAGTCCCTTGCAGGTGGAAATTTTAGTGTAGAACTAAATACTTCTGAGAATTCAGCTATCACTTCTCCCCATTCAGTTTCCCTGTCATCCATATCAGTCAGTTTCCCAGATTCTCCTTCACAGTATAACAAGAACCCCTCACCTTCCTGATGTAATATGTGACCCATAGTCTTCAAAGTCACCTCCATCTGATTAGCATTTGGATTTCCCTTTATGATATATGTTTCCCTTTTCTGATTCCACTTTAGGATTTGATGCTTAAAGTTTACCTCCATGTCTCCCAAACCAGTCAGCCATTCCATTCCCAACACTATATTCACACCTCCCAATTCCAAGATGTAATAATCTTGTTGAATCTGTACTCCTTGAATTTCCAATTCTGCCACTGAACATCTGCCCCAATTGTGTATACATTCACCATTCCCAATCTGGACCTTATAACCCTTAATTGGATTGTAAGGTATGTTCTTGCTCTCCACCAATTTTCTGGACAAGAAATTATGTGTAGCACCACTGTCTATTAACACAGTGACCTCTATCACTCCACCAATCCACTTCATCTTCCCTATCACCTTGAAAGTAGTCATAGAGGATATGCCTTCCTTACTTAGGACTGAGAGTTGCATGTTCTTGTTTTCCATTTGATTGGTAGTACTTATGAATTCTTCTACTGTTTCTTCTCCCTCAATCTCTGAATTCTCTTCCCCTTCAGAATCCTCTACCAACACCATCTTGTAGTTTTTCATTTTACAAGCATGACCTCTACTCCAATTCTCACCACATTTAAAACACAACCCCTTCTTGCTCCTCTCCAACAACTCTTCTTGAGATAATCTGGTCTCTTGTCTTCTTTCAGAAACTTCTTTCACTTCTGGCTGCTTTCTGATTTCACTGGCCCCTTTGTTAACTGTACTGGAGTTTCTCATAGGTCCTGGATAGCTTCTCCATTTATTATTTTCATTCCAACTCTGTCCTTGACCCTGAATGATATTCCTGCCTTGTCCCTTCTTCTTGTTTTCCTCCTTATTCTTCATTAAAACTGCCTCCACATTCTTGTTTTCAATCAATGTTGCTTTATCCATCACCTCAGCCAATGTCCTGGTCTTATAGAGCTTCAATTCTGCTCTAATATCCCTTTTCAGCCCTTTTAAGAACACACCTTTCAACACTTCTTCAGATAAATGTCCTTGGGATGCAATAGTTGTCTCAAATAGATCTCTATACTCGGATATGGATCCCTTCTGTTTCAGACTAAATAGAGGCCCCAAGGGATCCTGAACCAAATTAGGTTGAAATCTCCTGGTCAACGCCCGTGTGAATGAGTCCCAATTCAGATGCTGTGCCTGTCCCTCCCACCATTGGAACCAGCTGAGAGCTTGGTCTTCCAATGCGATGACCGCTACATCCAATTTATCTTCTTCTTCTGTCCGATTCAATCGGAAGTATCTGTTCATCCTTAACAACCAACCAGAAACATCCTTCCCGTTGAATAAGGGCAAGTCAATTTTTCTGGCGCTATGATTCTGATTTCTATGATTCCGTCTAGGTTCGCAATTGTGTTGCGAGACGGAATTGTTAACTGCCTCATCCGAACTATCTTCTTCTCGCGGATTCCTCTGATGAGCTGTTCGCAGTGAGCTGTTCGATCGTCGCGACTGACTCCGAGATCGATTGGTCATCTGAACTTGTAATTCAGCGATACTGGCTTGCATCGCAGTTTGCATCGCTTCAATATTCGCAGCTAAATTATCCATGCTCGTTTGTATCTCACGTTGACCTCGCTCAACGTCATTCATTCTCCCTTCCATTTTCTTCCTCGTGCCAACCATTCACCACGGCAACCAGTCTCTGATACCAATGATACGACTACCACCACACAGTAACAATCACAATGAAGCTAAGAACAAGGTAAGAACAGAAAATTCTCATACACAGAAGGTAGGTCGTATACAGCCTTTCCCAAGAAGGAGATAAACTCCAACTCCCAGTTCCCGACAATGTGTCTCCAAAAATAGCCTGCCATCCTACAGCAGAATTATTCTATTTATATCCTTCTACAAACAGAAGGTAGTTATTAGTTACTTAACAGCTTTTAACTAATAACCGCTAGTCTATTTTAGGCCTTCTAGAATATACTCTCCCGAATCTTCTATTCTGATTGCTTAGACTAGCTGGATCTCTATCAGTTGAACCTTCTGAATTTTTTGTTAAAGGAAAAACATTTAGGTAGCATCCATTTCATCTGATTAGGAGACCATTTGGTAAGGTGTGAGTTTGGCTAGAGTTTCTGAAATTGTGGGTAATCTTGATGGAGGTAGCTGAAATCTATGAAATTTGAAGAAAAAATGATTAAAGTATATCTAAAATGATTGCAGGTTAATCAAATAGGTAGTGTGACAGAATCCATACAAGCAGCGCTTGACTCAAAAGCAGCAGGATGGGGTGTCATGGTCAGCCACAGGAGTGGTGAAACCGAGGACAACTTCATTGCCGACTTGTCTGTTGGTCTGGCCAGTGGACAGGTTCTTCTCTTCATTGCTTGGCTATTGTTTCTTCTTTTCATTCGTTTCTTTTATACTACGTATGTAGTATGAGTTAAGTAATTATAGGTTTCATTTTTCTGACCATTGCTTTCTTTTTCTGATGTAGATCAAGACAGGTGCCCCCTGCCGAAGTGAGCGTCTAGCCAAGTATAACCAGGTGAGATGAGATTTATGCTCCTCCACCCCCTTGTACTCCTGCAAAACAAAAGAGTAATAGTTGTTATTTTTAGCTTTTAAGCATTATAAAATGATGTGGGGAAGTTTTGATAATTAGATGATGAGCGATTGAGCAGTATGGGTATACGACTATAAGTGCCAATTTCGATCTTATTGCAGCTTCTACGCATCGAAGAGGAACTCGGAAACGTGCGCTATGCTGGTGAATTTTTCAGAGCACCATGAGAAAGATGGCAAGGTTGCAGCTTTGAATTTTTTACTTTATAGCTGATCAATGCTCATGAAGTTGTTTGTTGTAGAATAATAACAATAAATAATATCTTAAGTGTTAAAATGCATTAATTTATGTATTCTTGAAGGATGATGTATGCCTTTCTTTTTTGAGAAATTTTGTTGAAAATTCCTTCTTGAGTTCTGCCCTCTCGAGCCTCAATTCTCCCCTCTTGAGTTCTGCATCAACCCATTCAGCAGCTCATCTCGCTGTGTATTCTTTTCTCCCCTCTCAAGTCTCAATTTTCCCCTCCTTTGTTTTCTTCTCTTTTTTCCCTTCTTTTCGGTGACAGGTCCTTCATTTTTTTCTTGTATTTCTTTTATTTCCTCTTGAGGTGGAAAACCCTGCAACGGCGCTGATTTATGAAGACGGGAGGTTGGAACCCCCTCAATTCGAAATGGTAGCAGAGACTGTCTTTGAAAGATCTTGTACCCTGAAGGTGAAGTATGTGGGAGAGTGCGTCGTGGTGCTACTTCCAATTACGGGCGGTTGATTCTCTTCCGGTGTGACGTTGGCAATGCAGGGTTTTGTTTCAAGCGATGAAAGCAATGGGTTACCTATAGTCGGCGGCAACAATATATAGAAGCGGGGATCCGGGGACTTGGTTGGCTGCTCGCAACAGTGACGATGGGCCACGGTTGTTGTGCTTTTTTTCTTTTTCTTTCTTCTTTTGTTTTTATGTCTTTTTACTGGTTCATTAAGTCTCAGGTTACGTAACATCAATTTGAGAAGAACGCTGGTAAATTCGTATTATTCCAGAATCATGTATGTTTGGGATTAATATTGGAAAATCGTTAATAGTTGGAATTATTAATGTGTTTTTTTCCCTAAATTTGAAGTTTACTTGGTTGCAGCTTATGATGGAAAGTGTTACGGACATGATTGGGATACGAAAATACAACAAAAATTGATAGAACAACTTCTCCATCTTGTCAAGACTTCACGGAATAAGTCAACTCAAAGTAAATCTCAAAAAACTGTGAGACTGCGACCCGTTGTCCCGTTCCAAAGTACCTGCGAACCATTCACCTTGCGTTTAGAAACGCAGTCTTTTTATTCCATACTCAAAACTTTAGAAAATTTGACTTTTTGGTCCCAACAACTGCTAAACCATTGTAGCTTTTGGTCCTTGACTACATTTTTTCCCCCACTGTTTGTGTACGACTCACATGTGTCACTTTTGGTCCATATGATTGCTTTTGCTGCCTGTTTATAACCCTTAGGTGGCTAGGTTATAAAGTTTTTGTTTTTGTCACTTTTGGTATTCAGTCTTGTTTTTTCCCCACACTTTGATTGTGTCACTTTCAACAATATTTTACCGCTACGGTTTCTTCAAGTTTGGATCTGATTTGACATGTCTGCTAAGTCCTCAAAACAAATGCTCTGCTATGTTATAGATTTGATTTTGTTGGTTTGTGCATAACCATTGTTGATTGTTGTGTATCCCTTAGCTAATTGTTGCTGCTTGGAGCTTTGTAACATGTTTTATACTGCAAGTTTTGGACCAAAGTGTCCAGAGGAAGTTTACCTTTACTTTGTGGCATTTTATATCATTGGCTCATCAGACCTATGCGGGAAATACACAAAAAAATATGTCACTACATGTTATACAAAGGATGGCTCTAAACTCCTGTATGTTTACAATATACTCCGTATTTGTTTAGTTCACAGAAAGAAGGCTACATCTAGCTCCGATCTCACCCTTTTCTACAAGTATATGGTGAGTCAGCACAGCACATAGAAGCTTTTAGGATGATAGCGTTCGGAACAAGAAGATGCCTATACCACCAACGGCCAAACTAAGGACCAATGGAAGTCCTATTGTTTCAATCTGTCGTCTTCCTTGCTGAGACCTCTCCCTGTATCTCTCGCGTATAGCTTCGCCCAAAACCTGTAGCTGATGAACTATCTCAAGTTGCCCCCTTGAAACTCGAAAAACCTGCATCCCAAACAGGTTCATTTGACTAGTTGAGATATAATAACAACACCAATGATATATAAAAATAAAAGATTTCATGCTTGGTAATTGACATCTATTTTTTTGCACGAATGGCTTTCTAGCAACTTTGTGTGCTCATCACCTATATGGGCAATAGTTTGATCCATAAATTAGTCAGAAAAGTGATTAAAATGATTTAAAATGACAAAACATCAGGTCGTGCACAAATTGCGGGGAACCAAAAGCTACAATGATTTAACAGTTGTTTAAAAAAAGCTGAACATACCTCTTCCATAAGAGGATCCCTAGCCAATTGAGAAGATGACGTTGAATGATGTAACATGGAACCACCATTCAATGACCCATTTCCCAAACCAGTCGCAAAAAGGGAAGTAGGCGCAGTGCTATTGCTGATCACTTCAGGCAAAACTGTCAAATTTTGCTCACTTGCAGAAAAACTTCTTGCAGACACGTTAAGCTCTTCCAACCGGGATGTGAACTCATCCATTCGCTCTGCCAATGTAGAGATCTGTTCTGAGAGGCGAGTCATGGCAACCTGAAACACACAATTTGGTAGATATTATTGAGGGGAAAAATCGAATACTTCATAACGATTGTTTCCTGGGTTTGAGTTTACTCTATAAGGTTTGTGGATCCTTATTGGGTGAGTTAGACCCAATTCAATACTACGTATAATACTGAAATCTGGTACGATGGTGGTTCTGGTTTGTGAATTTTGTGGTTATTCAGCACCCTTTGGGAGATTGGTTTGGGTCCATTTGTCCATTTCGGCATTTGGTTATCCATTTTGTGAATCAAAATCAATACATAATTCAATTATGAGAGTTGATCTTTTACGGTCTTACCTGATTAGCGACTGCTGGTGAATCGGGAGTTCTTCCATCATATCTGCTGTTATTTACTTCAAGCTTTGTGAGCTTTCTCATATGTTTTTCGCGTGAATTTGAAAATGAGAGCGACGTCCCACTGCCCATGTCAAGTATGCACGGATTTCACACATAAGCATTTATTTTATAACAAAAGCATGAATATCCCCAGACTTATGTATGAATATTATGTCTATACATATTTATCAGTAATTCCTATAAATTATGAGTTACCGATTAAGAAACTTGATTCTCCTATCTGCAGAGGCCCGAGTCACAGCCTCTTTTGGGCTCATGGCTGCTGTATCATCATCAATGTTCAATTTTGTCTTCAGATCAGCTGGCAAAGCCTGCATACGTTTATCGATCAAGGACTGTCTAGTATTTGATAGGCGTCATATCATGCTTACGAAAGAGTATATCGTACCATAACATCATTCACAAGCTTTTCCAGTTGAATTTGTTCTATATAAGTGCGGGGAATGTATGAACCTTCCAGCCCCAGCTGTGTACCAACATGTTTGACATACAAACGGTCTCTTCCTTGCACCTTTCACATTAATTAATATGAATAATATATAAACACTACTATGCCTTTCTTTAAGATCAGAGGAAATTTCCAAAATATTGCTCCAGGCTACTTCAAAAATGTTAGTGAAGAGGTAATTCTTCGAAAAAAGTCTCTGCGATGCCACTTTTTTAGGGGCTGTGACAAAATATAGCATTTTGAGAGTGGCATTAACATATTCATGCAAATATTTATAAACAATGGCATTTCAACGAAGATGTTATTGTGACCATTAATGTCTTAAACTCGATACCTGTTCTTATAATTTCCAGTTATCTCTTATCTTCAGTTGTATATAAAGTCATATGTTCAAACTTCCGACCTTTAATTTATTATTTAATACCAGTACTTTGTTAAATAGAAAATAAAATGGATTTATCATAAGTTTTTAATTATGATACCTGAACATAGTGGCGATTTAGTTGCTCCAACCAATCAGTTTTAACACAAACTCTATCATCAGAGAAGACATGACTATTCCGTTTCAAGATGGACGCAATGTTGTACCCAAGGGCCATCAAGCCACCAAGAAGTCGCACACTGACTTCAAAACTGATTCTGGGTGATATAATGAAAGGACTATCCTGCACCCATTCCTGAAATAATGATGCAAGATATAACACGTTAATGCACAATGGTGTAGCTTCTGTTGGGAATCTCACATTGAAAGATAAAAGAAATATACCATTAATGTTCCAGTTGAAAGCAGAACATAACAGATTCCATTAAATTAGGAGAACATCAAGAAGTGGAGATTTCGAACCTCAAACATGAGAGTGTATCTGCCATCTCTATTCCTCATCCTCAAATATGATTGACAAGCTTCAGGGTCTTCACCTGGTGGCAAGAGGAAAATATCATATGTTTCCTCTTTAGTTTCGTTGTGTTCCTCACTAAGAACAGCCTTGATCTGATCCACTGTTACCATCTTTGTAGACTATAAAGCAAAACAAAACACACACAATAAGAGAGAAAGCTGAAAATAATAAATTTTAGACTTAGGCCCTGTTTGGTAGCCTTAACTTACTTATTCTGCTTATCAACTTTAAGCTCATACGGCTAAAATGAATGTCAGCAAAAGCCTTACCAATTTAGTAGATTCACCAATTTCAACCAAATAACCCTTACCAAACAAGCGCTTAGTGCATTAACATATTCTAACCTTCAAAACATTCACCAATTTCAACCAAATAACCCTTACCAAACAAGCGCTTAGTGCATTAACATATTCTAACCTTCAAAACATATGTGGGGTTCTGGAACCCAGCGAATGGATTAAACTTGTTCGTGATTTTTATATGGGCTGTCTTTAGATCTGGTTCAATGAAAGCCTTGTACATTGGATATACCTGTTTACATAAGAGAGCGTAAGTCAGGTAAAGCTTCATCCTACGCAAAAGCAAATGCCAAAATATGAGATAAAAACAATACTAAAAACAGTAGTAGACTAGTAGTATTAGTTACTTTGTATACAATAATAACAATAATAATGATGATAATAGTAATAATGGTACTAGTAGTCATAGTAGTAGTAATAATAATAACAACGACAAAAGCAACAACACCAATAATAATAAAAATAATAATAATAAAAACAACAAAATTAAAAAATTAAAATTATAATAACAATAATAATAAAAATAATAATAATACGTAGTAATAGAAACAATAATAGAGAAACCGTTTCGGAGATTTGATGGATTATTTCTTCTGGCTCTTGGTCAGCACGTTGAATGTCTCTAAGGACCCGCTTGACAAGATCAAAGTGCACTCCACCAGTGACCGATACACGAAGATCTATCAAAGGCCGCAGCTTTTCACTCAAAGCATAAATTCCTTCAATGACTAATACTCGAGAACTTGGAACTTCAACTGTCCTGTTAAATATATACACCACAATACATACTCCTATTATGAAAAGTTGACTTCTTTGATATCATATTTTTGTACTAGTTGAGGAGGTTTGTCCAAAGATTTAAAAGAAACTGATAGAGTTTTGAAAAGAAAAGATATGGATGACCTGTATCCAATGCGAGAACTAGATTTGAAGTCATATATAGGAACTTCAACAGGCTTTCCAGCTATTAAGCCATGGATATTTTCAAGCAATGTTCCATAATCCGTCAAGCGTGGATCTACATCACACAACGAAAAAGGAAAGAATATTAAAATTGTTTCTAGGAATTGAACTAACTGATTAATAGCGGGGGTTTATTGAAGTACATTATAAATAGAAAGAAACTTCTCTTGGGTAGAAAGTGAATGAAAATATAAGTTGGACCCATAGAGAAAGATACTTGACAGTTGACACTAATTACTGAAGAATATTTTTTCTTCACATCTATAATGTTAAATAAAAAACCACTCATAGTTCCATTCCGCATTAAAGAAAAGAAAGAAAACAATAAGTTGCCTCATATAAAGAAAGACAATACACATGTAGTCATGTGGTGTCACACTCATGTTGAATATAAATCACACACATAGACTTGCACTAAAAAACTGTACTCCCTATTTGTATGTTAAATAAACCGTGGGGTGGCGGGTGAAGTGAAACTGTGCAAGAGTTGGTGCAACCATAGAACCGAACCCTTCCAACTACATCTGCACAGGTCAGGCATGCAGCTATCTACGGGTCGGGTTACAATTGCCAATATTTGCCAATTGCCATCCCTTCAGTGATAAAATAATCATCCTCACCTTAAAGTTTGTCTGGGCGGAAGGGTTTGAAAGGGAATGCTTTGAAGGGTATATTTGCAAATTGAGATTTTATAAATATTGAAAGACTGAAATACTAAGTGAACATATTGAACTTCAATATTTATTTCTTCATTTTTAAAAATATTATACGATAGTATGTATTAAGATATAGACTACGTTCTCCAAAGCACTCCCATCCAAATAGACCCGTAGGGCTTGCTAAGTTCAGGGATATTGGAGGGATGTGGTGATGTTTACTTATTTCCA